GTCACTTTGATCAACAGATGGTCAAATAAGGAACCTGGTGTCGAACAGCTCTGGCTTCTGACTGGGTCCATGAACAAGTGGACTGTGGAGGGATAGTGAGGTCATGGCACATATAGGCGGCATAGGGAGGCTTTCATACGGTCCTGAGCCGGGGTGGGGGTTTGGCCTGATGGAGGTGGTCCCAGGGCCGGGACAATGGGAGACTTGCTTAAGGAGTCATTTGTGAGTCTGAGATATGGGGGAACATGTATTTTCCAAGACTGCTTTCCATAATGGCTCAAGCTTTGGAACGCATTGGCCAATCCAGAGAGACAAATGTGTGGTCTGTCGAGAAGCCAATCTCCTGAGTGAGGCTTTCCCTGGAACGGAGCCTGGGCCTCAACAAATCGTAAACAGGAGCCAATACAAATCCAAAAGGCTTTCCTCCATAGACGGACCTGCTTTTCCTAGCGTCTGGAGCGGAGGTCAGGTGATTCAACCCGAATGCCTGTAGTGTACCTGTGAACCCCCAAAGGGCTGCACAGTGTTCTGCACGTCCAAGGCTGACCGGGCCTTCCACGGTGCCATCAACCCGCCCACCTTGGACACACAAACACCCATGTTGGGATGTAAAGAACATTCACAAAAATAAATCGAAAACAGATGGAAATTTCCAGTGCATGGCTCCTTTATTTTCCTTTGGTGTGATTCAAGAGGGGGAGGCCGTCAGCCTTGGAGGCTCCAGCAGAGCCTGACACGGTGAACTGGTTCATACAGCGGCTCCACCGTCTCTGGAAAGGAGAGAGCTGCACAGGAAGGAAGTCACTGACTTAGGGCACTTTCACCCCCTGGCACTGGGAGTTGAGCCCAGCAGGGCTCACTGAGCCGCGCTGCCAGCCCTTTTTCATTTTTGATTTTTTTATTAGCACATGTTTGCAGTATGTGGGATTCCTTTCCTGGTGTGATGCTGGTGCACGTGTGTTACACACTTAATTTCTTTTTCATCCCAGTTCTCTCTCCTCCCTCCTGCCTCCTCGATCTCTTGATCCTCTTCCCATCTGAGAAAGATCTATCTTTTTACTTCTTATTATCTTTTATTTTGCTCTTTATTTATCATACGGGTTTCTCATATAAGAGAAACCTCCTGTATTTAAGCTTGTGTGTGATTTATTTCACTTATATTGTAGTCTCAAGGTGCATCCATTTTCTTACAAATGACTCGTTTATCTCCACTGTGTATGAAGTCCACATTTTATTTTACCATTTTGTTATTTTGAGACAAGGCCCCACTGAGATTTCCAGGCTGGCCTTGAACTTGTGATCTCTGCCTTAGCCATGATTACAGACATGTACTACCACACCTGCCTGTCAGTGTAGACGTTCCAACCACTTACTTGGGGATAAAAGACGGTAGATATAGTTCAGAGATCTAGAAACAAAGTAAGTCCCTGCTCCAGATAAGAAATTGCTGAACTCTCCAGTGTCATTTAGCTAAACTGCTGGTGCATGGCCAGTGCCTCATAGGAAAGGAAAGTTTTCCATGAGGCCCTGTAGTTCCAGTCTTTTAAGATGTGATACAGAGCCTTTGAGTTTGAGAAGAAGGAGAACAGGGGCTACAGTGGCATCTGAATGCTTCTCATATTCATAGTGACACAGAGAGAGAGAGAGAACTGGCTGCAGGAACCTCTGTGGGCTCAGCAGAGACCCACGTGTCCATACCTAGACAACACACTGGGGCCATGAGACACAGAGGCCCTTTCCTGGTTAAAAGATGGTGATGGAGAGACTAAGTAACTTGCTAACCTCCAGCCCTTAGCCAATCGGGAGCTGGGGCTCTCTCTGCTCTTGGTGGTCCCTGTGTGGACACACTCCTTTCTTGCCCAGTCTGGGCAGAGCCATTCTCCCAGGGCCTTCCCGATCCATGATCATCAATGACGGCACAGAGGACATGATCAATAAATGTTGGCTGTTTGTAATACAAACTTTGGCGCTGACCCCCCACATACCAAAAGCACTGGGAAGCAGGTACCAGCTCTCAGAGACCAAAAGCAAAGGGTCCTCCTCCCATGTCACCTGGTGCTCATCTGCCCAACCCATCTGCCCAACCCATGTCAGCCAGGAATTGCTCCTGGCACAGTCTCTCACATGTCAGTCCTGCAGCCTGTATTTGGTGGATGGGATGGACTTCATCCTTTGAGTTTATGTGGCGAATTAGCAAAAAGGGACAGACACGGTCAGTAGCCCTGATGTCTCCTTGGTTACTTTTCATGACTCATAGGCTGTCACTGACGGAGGAGAGCTGAGAAGCCACAAGCCACCCTGTGTGCGGGGGGAGGTGTTCTTGCTCTTTTGCCTCTTGCAAGGGCCCATTCTCTGGGTGTTGGGGGAGGTGATGCCACCAAGGCTTGGGTGCACTGAGCAGAGAGGACGCCAGCGCCGTGGTGGCCTTGCTGTGGGGCAATCCGTGTGGCGGTGTGCTGTCAGCAAGGCAAGCTTTGCAACAGCGGAGATGGCTTTCCCTGATGATATCAATTTCTTTTAATTATTCCATTCCGACAACTTTGAAAGTCACTCTGTAAGCTGACAGATGATTTATGTGTTGCATTAGCTCCTGGCAGTGGCTGCTGACAGCCTCCGTTGCTCCCTGCCCCACCCCCTCGCTGCACAGCCATGCTTATGTGTTCCCATCGCGTCACCCAGGAGTCACCGAGCTCTGCCACCTGTGTCCAGAATTCCCAGGGAAGTTGTGGGCTCACCGTGGGAGGTCCCCACACTGCAGAGCAGTGTGTTCACACGGCCCCCTGTAGAGGAAAGCCTTTGCTGGTGTTTTTTTCCTTTTCTCCCTATCTTTGTTTACTTCCCTCCTTTTCCCCTTAATATGATAAAGATCTGAAAGTCCCCTGTGAGGGAGTGTTCTGAGATACCACCAACCTCCATTCTCCACTGCCAAAGACCCCACGAGGGGCTGTAATTAGCAGGTGCAAAAGGCAGAATCAGCAACCAGGTAGCAAAGGGTTACCTGGAACTGAACAGCCACTCCAGGAAGACACCCAGCGCCTGATGAACAGGAAAAGAAAGGGCTTGGAAGGTCCATGTGTGGGCACACAAGGCTTAAGCCTGGGCCTCCCAAGGCTGAGATGGGTCCCCTGATGGCCGGAGCAGGTCGTCCTCAGCCCCAAGGAAGCTCCCTACCTCCAGCGGTGCCCAGGTGAAAAGGGCGCCCCATGCAATCTCAGACTTTCTGAAGGTCAAGACTGTTTAGTGGGCCAAGGACATTTATAGAGCTGTAAAAGGGATCATTTTGGCTAATGCTATGAAATTATATTCTGAGCCGCATAACAGTGGCCCACCACAGGTACAAAAGTAATTTTCCTCAAGTGCAAAATCTGGCTTTTAGAGAAGTTGGAGGTGGCCTGCTTGGTGTTGACAGGGTCCCTTTTTCTGTACAATTCAAGTTGTGACTTTGTAAAAGTGTCCCTCTAAAAAATCACCCAAGAGGGATAAATGAAGCAGGCCACAGGCACTGGGGTGAGAAGCAGGGTTGCTGAGCTGCAGAATGCCTCCCCATTCCTTCTCTGACCGACCGCGAGTCCTCTGGTCCATGTCTCGCTCACCCTGCGGAGCCCTGCAGCACCTGCAGCGTTAATCCAGGCACTCACCCTGCCTGCATGGCCATGGGCGCAAGGGAGCTGCTGGGCTTCTCAGGCTCCAGACTTCCACGTTCCTGAGTTGCCCTTTGCATAGCGTGTATTTGCGCCGTACGTTCTCTAGGAGCCTCCCCTCCAGAAAGCTGTCCCAACCTTCCATGCCACTGTAAACATGATTTGACAGGGTGTTATGCCCACACTGTGTCCTTCCGTGGGGCCTGTGGCCCAGGAGGAAAGAGCGTACCAGGCGCCTTGTTGGGTCTGCAGGATGGACAAGGTCTGGAACATGGCAGGCTCTCCATGTCTCCTGCTAGACCTGCCAAACTGTTCAATGTGGTCTTCGTCGATCATGCACCAGTAAACCTCAGGCCATGCCCAGTGATGTCACTTCCAGAGTGGATGAGTCTGGAATTAAAATTCACGAGGTCTTTTTTTAAAAAATTTAAATGTGATACAAATGTAGTGGAATAGTCAGCAAAGGTTTTAAAAAGTAGGATGTCTTTGGGGTCTCTGGGGGTCACGAGGATGATGATGCCCAGATGCAGCCAGGAGTGGGAAGGAGTTGGTGAGGTGTGGAAAGGGCTCTGCCTGCCAAGGAGGCCTGTTGTGGCAGCTTCCCTCACAGACCAAGGGTCAGGAAGGGCAGGTGACCCGGGACAGCTGTGATGTCCCACCTGTTCCATCCTGGCCACTCAGAGAGCCGAAACACCTGTAGCAGCCGCACAAAAGCTCCCTTCAAGATGTTTCCAGCTCACAATCTGTTCCCTAAAAGCCAAGAATTATCTGTAACCCAGGTTCAGTGCTAGCACATGTTTTCTTGTGCCATCCAAATTGCTGTACTTGGCTTAGTAAGTTAAGCTAAAGGGTGTTATGCTAGACACTCTAGGAGAGAAAGCAATTGGCTCTTTGAATTTGATTACTTGTTTGAAAATACTTTACTCAATAGAGAAATTGTGAGCAATTGAGCTTTTTTTGCAAATCACATATATATTTTTTTAAAGGCATCTGGGGAGTGCCCATTAAATGGAAAACTTTGTGGTTGAGTGCTTTGAGAAAGTGAAAAATTGCTCCCTGTTTTGGAAAAATGGAGTTTTGTTTCTTTTTAACCTATTGCTTTTTCTCCAGTCAGGGCCACATCCATCCCATCCAGAGCCATCAGCCAGTCTTTCCGAGACCCGGGGCACAGTCCCCTTCTCTGGCCAGGGCTCCCTCAGGTGACCAGCTGAAACAGCCTGGTAGGGTTTGTGGGGCCCTGAGTCCCTGGTGAGGCCGGCCCCGTGTAAGCCCAAAGGCTCTGCCTGTGGAACGCGCCCCCTCCCACTTCAGTCCTGTCTTCCTGTCCAGGGTTTCTCTGAGTTGTGCTTTCTGTCCTAGGACCCTCACGATGGTTTTGGGCCAAGCAATCTGTCACATGGAGGAAGGTGCCCTCAAGGCCAACCTCCCTCCAGCGGACCTCAACAACAGACAGAACAACACTCCGTCTCCTGCCTTTCTTACACCCGCGCACCTGTGCATCCCGGAGCAGAGGCCTGCACTGCGCAGAGGAGCCGCAGACCAGAGCCCCTAACGCTTTCCCCTTCAGCTCACACACTCCGGATTTTGGAGCCTGCTCTCTTGGAAGAAGGTGTATGGTTTCATAAGTCAGAGGACACGGTGTACAGGAGCTTCCACAGTGCCCGCACATAGTAGGTACACAGCAAATACTTGTGGGATGACCCTCACTGACTTTGCAGGGTGCGTGTTTCATCTTAAAATTGCTTTCCTTTTCTTTTTGCATCATAGATGTAATTTACCACCAGCGCCAGAGCTCTCTGACTCCAATGCAACATTTGTAAACTTGAAGACAGCTTGTCCGTGAAATTAATTAGAGCAAAAGTTAAGTACCAGCCACTGGGTTCTTTCTCCCATCGCACCATTTTTATAAGTCTGTCAGAATGAACTGTGACTTCGCTGGCTGTCACCGCCCCTCCCTGGCTCTGGGTCGTCACTTCAGCTTTGCTGAAAGTGCCCCCAGGGGACAGGCGGCCAGCCCTTCGCTGTCCTGTCTGGCTCCTTTTAAGCTCAGAAACTCAGCCCCACACGAGCTAGGAAGAGAGAGTCATGGGGGAGAAAAGATAAACACTGTTATTAAGAAGACTTGGATGTGTCTCTGAGAAAGTAGACACAAGTCAAAGTCCAGGCTCCACTTTTTTATACAAGTAGACCCGCCTAGTTACAAATGAAAAGGGTCTGTTTTAATTTACTGCTTCTTGCTAAGTCCAATAAGATTTGATTGCCCTGAAAGTATTTCTAAAACCCTCACACAGAGGGCTTGGGTGGAGAGTCCACTGGTTCCCTGTACCTTCATGTCCTTTTTACCACAGGGTCTCAGGAAAGGGTGTTTGGAGGCCTAGGCCAGACCCAGAATTCTTGTCCCAAAACACAGGGGAGGGGGCATGGGCTCAGGTGCCATGCCTGAGTCATCAGCTGGCGTGGCATCTCTTGCCCCAGTGGGCACTGATATTTGCTCTTCTTCGGGAAGGGAGAAGACCTGTATCCATGTGACCTCTTTTCATATGCTCACAACAGAAGGCCACAATCCACCCATGCCCTTCCCTGAGATGCCTGGTGACATCCTGGAAGTCATCCCAGCCCCTGTGGAATCTGAGTGGGTCACTCAGGGTGTAACTCACCTGCTGTTGATGTTACTGCCCACGTGTGCATGGACACTGCTGTCCCTCCCTGGGCAGGGTCGCCTCCCAGCCCCCCCACCGCCTGAGCTTGTCCAAACAGAAGCTCCACTAGCCAGCCCCAGAGGTCTCTCTAGACCTCATGGTGGTGACCTGTGCTCTCAGAGGTCCAGGAAGCAGCGTGCCCTCCTGCGGTAGCACCCCAAAACAACATTAAAGACACTGCGTTGCACTGTGTATCCGGCCACTCACTGCTTCGGCTAGGAAAGCTAATGCTGTCCCTGGTGATTGATGATGTATCAGTGTCAAAAGGGAACTAACTTCGAGTGGCTTTTTTCCCCTTGCGAAGGGAAATACAATCTTTATTTAATTATTTATTTATCTAGTATTATTATTATTAGCATTTTCAGCATAAGAAAGACAATCTCTTCAAATCACTACCTGACAACTTGCCTGGGCGAGGGGGCAGGTGGGGAGAACCGGCTTAATCTGCCCGCCATGCATCAAATTGATTTAGCAGGCAACAAATGTCAGGAGAAATTAAAAAGGGAGTAATGGCTCAAAGAAAAAAAGGCCGAGCAGCCCTCAGCAGCATCATAGGAGGCCGGCTTATGTATTCACAGTGGTTCCTGGGTTTTTATTTTCTCTTTGTCTTTAGCCTTTGCCGGCCACTCGAAAAGTCCTTATTTTGGTGAAGCGCATTAGCAAATACCAAGGACTTACCTGAGCCTAGCTTGTTTTAGGGATGCAGGTACGCATGTGTTCACTGGACGTTTTCAGTGGCATGACTGTCTCTTTCTCCTCCTCTTCTTTGGGTCGCAGTGATGATCACATGTTTTTCATAGTTTGAATTCTTCCCTGGGACCACAAAGCGGTATATAGGCACCAGTAGGAAAAGCCACTTTCTCTGCCACACCTACCTGGAATTGACAGAGGGACAGAGCTGTCCTCTCTCAATTCCACCAGGAAGGTAGCTCAGCCTCCAAGAGGAGGTGAGAGGCCTATGACAGCTCCTCAGTGCTCTAGGAGCCATCATTTGCTGCCTCCTTACCACTTCTCACCACAGGGACAAAGGAGCGGTCCCCATGGCCCAACTGTGAAAACTGAGCTTCCTCCTGCTGCTGGAAACCTTTCCTTGCCTGAGGACATCACAGTAGCAGAGACTGACCAATAAGTATGTCCTTGCTGCTCTGTTCCCTGCTTGAGTGTGTATTGGTTCGTCTTCCATTATTGTAATGAAATACCTGAGGCTCAGTGGCTTGCCACAGACATTTACTTAGTGTGCAGGTCTGGAGACGCAGGGTCCCAAGGCTGCATCTGGTGATGGCCTTCTCGCAGGCAAAGTTCCAAGGTGGGGCAGGGTATATGTAGCAAAGACAGGGAGCTCGCTCAAGCATGTACATGTGTGTCTTCTGTGTCTCCCTCTCCTTATAAAGCACCAGAATTCAACTCTGGGGGTTCCACCCTGTTGATCTTATCTAATCCTAATCACCTCCCTGAGACTCCACCTCTGACCATCGTGGTTGGGTTAGGTTTCCACCTTCCCAGTGCTTCACGATGGGGGATAGATTTCAGTATGAGAACTCCTGCGGAATGCACTCAAGCCAAACCCAAACCATAGCGGAGCATGTTCTCATTGGTTTAAGACATTCTTGTTCCTTGGTAAACTCCCAGGGCCTGAGCCAGGGCTGAATTCCCACTCAGCTCCCACTGGTGCAGTCCTCCACAGCGGCCCCTCTCTCCTGGTCTCCCTCAAGCCTCAGAGCCTCCACATCCGCCCCTTGCTTCCCATCAGTTTGCCTGCCCTCTTCCAGAAACGGTTCTCTCCTGTCTTCCTGCGGTGGATTCACGCCGTACACCTCTGCTGCTTTCTCTTGCTTCCTCCCCGTGGGAGGCTGGAGGGGCCGGCACCTGGTCTGAGGCTCTAGAGGCCTGTTTCCCCTGCTGTCTCCCACACAGCTGTACATCCCTCTTTTCCAAAAAGTGGTCTGCACAGGGGTCCGTTCCAGGCCAGGCCTTTGTGTCCTTTCTGGCTTGCTCTCTCATCTTCTGCCGGGCATGCACCTTGAGCACCTCTGGTCTGCTGTCCTAAAGTGCTGGCATCCAGGGCTAGAGTGCACCCATGGGATTGGGAGTAGAGAGATGCTTACCCCTCATCTCCTGGGAACCCTCCTGTAGCCCCGTGTGCCACTGTTTGGCTTTGGGGTGACTCCCGGTCATCGTGTTATAGAAGATTGATGGAGCTTTTGGTGACCACCAAAGTAATTGGAAGTGGACTGTTGAGGCTGTGAGCAGGAGACGGCAGCCAGGCTCACTTGTCAGTCACGCTCTTTGTGAAGCTGCTGCTCCAGGGAGGTTGGGGCCTCAGAGATGGCCCCGGGGGATTGCAGGCCTGTTCTCTGCTGCTGCTCTTCCCCCTCTGACTATAGGTTCCAGTACTTTCTGCCTGCCGGGCTCCAGTTGGCTGGGGGACAGCAGTGGGCAGCGTTAGGTGGAAACTCCTCAGGCTGCTCGTCACCGGTGGGCTCATCTGTCCATGGCTTGGGGCTGTAGGACCATCCTGGGGGTGTAAGTGGGAACCATCTCCGGAGGGATGCAGGAGGGGCCTACAGAAAGTAGCTTCTGGAAGTAAGGTCTGGGGGAGGCTTCTGTCACTATGTCTTAATGGGGTCCCTAAGGTCCAGGGTCCAGCAAGGAATGGAGCCTACTCAAGAAATTCCCATGCAACCAAAAGCAACTCAGCAAGAGGTTGCTAAAGAAACAGCTGGAGAAAGCCAGGAAGCTGGTTGTCGCAGGAAAATTAAAGACCCTTCATTCAGGAGCACTGGGCCAGACAAACCAATGAGGAGGGAGCCTTCCCTTTGGCCACACATGAAGTCTGGGTAGAAGGTGGGGCGTGGACAGCAGGGCCACAGGGAGACTGTGAAACCCAGAGGCCTGGAAGACCTAGGGCCACACGTCATGGGGTGGAACCAGGCCCATGTGGGCGCCAAATCCCACACGTGTCTGCCACTGCCAAGAGCACCGTTCTTTTCCTCCTACCCTCCATGCACAGGATGGCGGGAGGTCATGGAGCCTTTGCTTTTGGCATTTTTCAGTTGATGTCTTTGTTGTCAGTCTGTCATCCATTTTCATATCTATCTTTGCATCTACACAACCAATCTTCCTTCCACCTTCCCAGGGTTCCTTTCTCCCATTTGTCCTTTTTTCCCCATTTCTTGTCATCTGTCATCTCCTGATTCAACCAGCCTTCCTTCTTTTTTTTATCTGCCCATACATCTGTCCATCCTTGCATCAATTCACCCTTCCATCCATCAGTATCCATCCATCCATCCATCATCATTCACCCATCATCATCCATCCATCATCATCCATCCATCCATCCATCATCATCCATCCACCCATCATCATCCATCCATCATCATCCATCCATCCATCCATCATTATCCATCCATCCATCCATCCATCCATCATCATCCATCCACCCATCATCATCCATCCATCATCATCCATCCATCCATCCATCATTATCCATCCATCCATCCATCCATCATTATCCATCCATCCATCATTATCCATCCATCCATCATCATCATCCATCATTATCATCATCATCTATCCATCCATCATCATTATCCATCCATCCATCATCATTATCCATCTATCCATCATCATCCATCCATCATCATCCATCCATCCATCGTCATCCTCATCATCCATCCATCCATCCACCCATGCATTCATGCACTCACTGAGCTGCGCCCGTCTGTTCACCATCCGCCTGCCCCTCCACCTGCCTTATACCCAGCTCTTCCCCTGCCCCTCCACAAGGTTTCTCTTTCTATCACAGACAATCAAAAATGTACATTGTGCTTTCTCATTTCCAGTGCTGCTTAAATGTACAATATTTTCCTCACAGCTACTCCATAGCACAAGGCCCCACCCCCCCAATTGGGCAGCTTCAAAACCTGAGACTGGGTGGAGAACTTAGTGTCATCTGGTGAGGATCTGAACCTGCCCCTGTTCTACCATGTTATGGTTTATACCTGGATGTCCCCTTAAGGCCTCATGGACTCACAGGGACCTTTGGAAGGTGACTGCATTATGGGGGTGTGACAGCTGACTTGGAGTTAGGAGGTAGGACCTGGTCAGCTGAGGACTCTGTCTCCCTCCCCAGCTCCTCCCTTGCCTCTGTCTCCCTGCTGCCACACCAGGACCAACTTACCCCGCCAGGCCCCTTGGCCATGCCATCCTGCCAGAGCCAGCCGACTGTTGACTGAGATATGAGCCAAAATAAACTTCTCCTTTGAGCTGTGAATATTGGGCATTGTGTTTTGGTGACAAAGAAGGTGATTTAAGTCACAGCACACCACGTTCTCTTCCAGTGCCCACCTGTTTTGCCTTGGATAAGACCTCCAAGAATTTGTGGTTGGCCTGGAGCCATGACAGCAGCTGTGTTAGCCAATTCTTACGCAGGTAGAGGTTTAGGTATGGGGTGAGGGGAGCCTGATATTCACCTTTGGGTTAGTCCCTGAACACCAGAATGGCTCTCCTCTGTGCTCTTTGCAAAGACAGATTTGGGGGTTAATCTGTGTGTTGTGACCAGTTAGTCATCTATCAAACCAGGGAGTCGGCTGCAACATCCTCCCACATCCTTGCAGCTCACACTGCAGTGCGGTCCAAATGGGGGAGTTCTCTCAGCCTCCGCTGACCCTCAGGACCGCACAGATCTACTACCCCACCGTTGGCCCGGCACAGCCTTCCTGCCCCAGGCCATCTGGGGTGCATGAGCAGCCCTCGCATCCCTGGGGAAGTGCCCGGCTCGCTGCTGTCCTCTTTAGGTGCCGAGTCTTTGAGCTAAGCGAGAAGCCCTGGTCCAGGCATCTCTCCCCAGACTGCCGAGCTCAGCACTTTCTTTCCTGGGAACTGATGCCCAGGACTCTGGATTCATGGAACAGTGATTTCCCTCTGCGGCTGGGGGAGGGGGCAGCTATCAGTTATCCTTAATAACTGCGCAGACGACAGCATCACATTGCCCTGGGCTGTCTTAATAGTGTGGAGTGGTCACTCGCTCTCTTTTTAGAACAGCAGTTCCACTGACTCCATTACCGAAATGGCCCTTGCCTTCCGTGCCCTGTCCAAGTTGCTGTGTCGTTGTTTTATTGGTTCTCTGAAAAGCTCCTACTAATTAAGGTGAAAGCCACATACAAACGGCCGGGCTGCAGTGCAAAGGACGGTCCTTTACATGCTAGCTGTGGGTCTTCCCAAGGGCCCTGCAGCCGCCAGTTGCTCTGTGTCCAGGGCTTTGGCGTCCTCCCCCCAGGAACGGGATGTTTGCCAGACAGCACTGTCTCAGGAGCTCTCAGCCCCAATCCATGCTCGAGGCTAGGGAGGGCACAGCAGGGACAGCCAGGTCCCCTTCTGCTGTCATGGGCTCAGACAGGTTTCAAAGGCAGCCCCAGACTTTTAGGGACTGAGAACCACTGAGCAAACAGGATCCACAGCACGGTATCCAACCCACAGGTTCAGGATGGGAAGCCAGTCGGGCTCTGGGTGCAAGATGGATGGCTGCTCTGCAGGGGACCCAAGTCTTGGAGGCCAAGTCAAAGGAGAAACAGGAAGAAGACCAGCAAAGCGGTCTTCAGCAGCAGGGCTGGGGTGGGGAGAAGGCCTCTGGGAGGGAGATAGAAGGGCGAAGCCCACAGAGCAAGGTTCGGTTCTCACAGTTGGGGTGGGAGCAGAGGAGCCCCTCAAGTCCAGGCTGAGGAGGGTCAGTTCACTGAAGTGGCGGGACATTGAGGACAACCAGAGTAAGTGTCATGCATAGAGAGGGGAAAAATAGGCAATCGCCTTCCTCAGGACAGTAAAGGCAGCCCAGAGTCCCAGGGGCCGCCTGCACATCAAATCACTCACGGTGTTCTTCCTTCTACCCTCAGGCCACAGTCACTCTTCACAGTTACCAGTTTCCCTCTGACCTAGTGAGCATGGAAACGCCCCCTGTGCCCTCGGGCATCCTCCCCCCCCCAGTCCTGTGCTTGGTGTGACTCTGTTCTTGGGCTGCTCCAGCCACTCTTGCTCCTGGATGTCTTACATCCCTGCCTGGGATTTGCTACCTTGGAATAGCTCTTATTGCCATCTTCCTTCAAAACTGCCTCTGCCACCCCGGTCTGCCGCCCGACCTCAGCATGAAGCCTCACTTCACCCCCTGAACTGTGGTCCCTGCTGCTGCCTGGCTGCTGTCTTTGCAGGACCGGCCATGGTGTGTAGATGTTGACCTATTTGTTGTCAGTGTCCTCCAGCTAGAATGTTGCCTCCCTTGTTCACCCACCTGTCCTGTGTACTGAGTTGGATGAGGCCAGGTAGGGAGTAGGACTATGTGCTGGGAGGAGAGAGACTCAGTGGGGCAGATGAGTGGGTGGATGGTGGATGGCAGGGCGGGTGGATGGGTGGATGGGGTGAATGGATGGATGGACGGGTGAATGGATGGATGGATGGATGGATGGATGGACAGGATGGATGGACGGGGTGAATGGATGGATGGATGGATGGATGGATGGATGGATGGGGTGAATGGATGGATGGATGGATGGATGAATGGATGGCAGGGTGGGTGGATGGATGGATGGGTGGACAGGGTGGATGGATGGATGGGGTGAATGGATGGATGGATGGATGGATGGGTAGACAGGATGGGTGGATGGGGTGAATGAATGGATGGATGGATGAATGGATGGCAGGGTGGGTGGATGGATGGATGGGGTGAAGAATGGATGGATGGATGGATGGGTGGACAGGGTGGATTGATGGATGGGGTGAATGGATGGATGGACAGGGTGAATGGATGGATGGATGGATGGATGGGTGGGTGGACAGGGTGAATGGATAGATGGATGAATGGATGGCAGGGTGGGTGGATGGGTGGACAGGGTGAATGGATGGATGGGAGAACAGGATTGATGGATGGGGTGAATGGATGGATGGACAGGGTGAATAGATGGATGGATGGGAGGATGGGGGGATGGATGGTGATGGATGGTGGATGGGGTTGGGTGGGTGGGTGGAAGGGGTGAAGAGGTAGGTGAATTATTCAGAGGTAACCTGGTCTTATCCAAACCACAGTCCTGTCTTAATTCCCCAACTGTGGGACTTCCCAGGTGTTAGGAAGATCTGAACCTGTGTTTCAGAAATAATCACAAGGACTGACGTGGAATGGAGGCATGGCAGTGTCAGGAACAATACCTTCCCTTCCTTTCTTCTTCCTTCCTCTCTCTCTCCCCTTTACTATTTTGAGTTTACCCATCGTTTGCTAATTTTTCACCACAGTTAACCTGTTCGGAATCATTTTTAAACTATAATCAAGGAAAATATCTACACAAAAATACATGCATGTGTGTATAGGTGTGTACATAAAAGTGCCCAGGGACTAGTGAATTCTCACAGACGAGATACACTTGTGAAAAGGCACCGGGGTCTAGGAATGAGCATCCTTCGCTTACTGTCCCCCAAGGGTCCCCTTCAGCCCCTTCTCCCTCCAGAGCTGCCAGCAGACTTCTAACAGCTGCAGTTAGCTTTGCCTATTTTTAAATCAGCCACTCTGTTTTGGTTTGCTTCAAGAGACAGAGTACCAGCCTCTAACAAATAGCATTTGTTTTATTTCCAATTATATGGTTAGAGAGAACATATTTTAAAAATGGACTTTCTAGAGGGATAAACAATATGTTATTTTCCCCCAAAATATTTTGACATTATGTTAATAGACTTTTTGTTTATTATCTTCTTGCTTTATGATTTATTTTTGTATTTTGTCATGCACTTTTTTTGAGGAACAAATTTGAAGCATTAAATGGAGTGTATGGGCTGTAATAACGGTAACTGAGGCTGAACAATGCTGTGCTGTAGATCACCTTAATTTTTTACCGAAGCAAAATTTCCATCCAGTGAATAATAGAGAAGGGTACAATTTTGAGAGTTTTGAGTAATACAAATACCTGCGCAGCTACCCTCCTAATCAAGACAGATAACATCTTTATTTCCCAGAATGTTCCTGCGTCTCCCGCAAGCCATGTGCAGTGCCCTGGACTCCCCTAATTTTACCCACCGCAGACCAACCTTCTCTCTCCTTGAACTTCACATACACGTTATCACAGACTGTGCTTCATCGCTGTGCCACAGTTATTTTAAGGTTCATCTCCCCTGTGGTATGCATTCACTGTTAATTCTTTCATATGCTAAGCGGAATCTCACTGCATGAATATACACACTACAAGGTTTTCATTCTTTTGTGTGTGGGCACAGGTATGGGTTGAACCCCAGCCTTTCACGCTAAGCTACAGCCCCAGTCCTTTTCTATTTGTTATTTGAGACAGGGGCTCAGGAGGTCGCTAAGTTGTCCAGGCTAGGATTGAATCTGAGAACCCCATGCCTCAGGCTCCCAGAGTGCTGGGGTCCCAGGCACCCTCCACTGGGCAGGCCCATTGTTCCATTAATAGACGTTTAGGTGATGCCCGTGTGTTCTCCTGTCTCTGTTTTGTGCAGCTATGTTTTCTTTTCTCTTGAACAAACAGCTAGGACCAGAATTGTTTCCTAGTGGGGTGCTTAACTTTTTAGGAGAATTTGTTCCCAAAGTGGCTGTCCTGATGTTTTGCACTCTAGGTGACAAAGTGTGTGAGCTCCAGGCGTGCCACCCCTGGACCCCTCTGCCAGCAACAGGTATAATTACTCCTTTGCAGAAGTGGCAAGTGGTGTCTCTTTGTGCTTTCAGTCTGCATTTCCCCGATGCCAAATACTGACCAACTGTAAATGCCCTTGTTGTCTGTCTGCATGTCTGTGACTTATCTGTCCAAGTCTCGTTGTATTCCTTGCTTGTCATTTTATTATGGAATCAGAGGAGTTCTTTATTCTAACTGTAAGTTCTTTGTCAGATAAAGGGATTACAAATATTTTTTCCCACTCTGTGGCTTTTCTTATTGTTGATGTTCACTTTTGAATGAGCAAAAGTTAAAAACTATTTTTTGTGTGTTTAGTGGTTTGGGGACCCTCTCTAAAAACATCTTTACCTACCTTAAGGTCATGAAGATTTCCTGTACATTCTTCTGGAAGCTTCACAGTTCTAGGTTTATGCTGCTTTGTGAGTTTTATCTGGAGTCAAGGCTCATTTTTTTTGAAATACAATTTTTTAGTTTTTCTAGCCCATTCACTACATAGATTTTTCCTTATCGTGTTGCCTTAACACTTTGATTTTTAAAAAAACCCATCGACTAAACACAGAGAAGTGTGCATCGGCTTTCTCCATTGTACTCTGCTGATCTGTTTGCCTGTGGTTCTATAGCCCTACACTCCTTGTCTGTCGCAGCTTTGCATGAATTTTGAAGTTAGTAAGTCCTCCAACTTGGTAGTTTCAAGAATGTTTTGCCTCTTCTAAGTCCTTTGCGTGTCTATTTAAATCTTAGAAATGAGTTATCAATTCTACAAAACATTCTGTTGATATTTGGTTTGGAATTGTTTAGAAATGGTAATCTACAGTTCTATCTGGAGGACACACGTCTTACTTTATATATAGATTGTGCAAAGCATCGGGCAGTTTACTGTTCATTTATGTAGCTCTTTAGCTTTGCTTATACAATAGTCTACTTCCTACAGACTAATCTTGCACACATTTAAAGTTACCACTAAGTATTTTATGGTTGTAATGTAATTGTACGTGGAATTGTTTAAAATGTCATAAAAAGTCATTTCTCATTTTTTCCTGCTAGAATAAAAATGCAACTGATTTTATATATTATTTGGTGTGCTATGATATTGCTAGTGTTCTTACTAATACTAATGAGGTTATTCTTGTACATCCCTTAAACATTTTTATGTAAATAGTTATGCCCTCAGTAAATAGAAGGAAGTTTATTCTTTCTGTCCAGTCTATATGGCTTTTATTTTTCTTGCTTTATTGTACTAGCTAGAATTTCAGTGAATAGGAGTGATATCAGTGTCCTTGTCTTGTTCCTAGTCTTTGGAGAAAAGCATTCAATGTCTCCTCAATAAATAGGATGTGTCCTAGATTCATCTCTGATCAGATGAAGGTTTTTGTTCAAGTTTGCTGAGAGTTTTGGTTATGAATGGGTATTTGAAGTCACAGATGGGTCGTGAAATCTAAATCTTTGGAAATGATCATTTAGTTTGCTCACCTATTTTGTTAACATGGTAAATTATATTGGTTAATTTTTAAATTGCATGCCTCAAGGAGAAAATAATGATTTATTATCACTTGACACATCACTGGATTCAATCTGCTAATGTTATGTTGGTCTTTGTTGCTTGTGTTATATGAGGCCAATTGGTTTGTAATTATAATGCTCTTGCCAAGTTTTGGTGTCTGTATTATACTGATTTTCAAATGATTTGAAATTTTCTCTGCTTTGTGAGTTTGTGTTAGAGTTGGATTATTTCTTCATTGTGTGTTTGATAGTATGTACATACAGTGAGCACTCAGGACCTGGAATTTCTTTATAGGAAGGATGCAATAACAAATTCAATTTCTTTAATAGCTATTGGATCATTCTGAATTTATTTTGTGTAGGCTGTGTCAGGTTTGATAGATTGCTTTTCACGGAAGTTGTCTTCTTCATCAGCTAGTTTAATTTATTGATATAGAGTCTCTCACTCTCAAATTTGCTTAGCATCTGTAGGCTCTGTAGTAATGCCTCTTTAATTTCTGATATTAGTAAGCTGTGAGTTTCCCCCTTTTTTCTTGATCATTCCTACCAGGAATTTTTAAAAAAAGATTCATTGAGCATATTTTCATATAATAAACTGTATAAATGTAAAAGGTACAGTTGGGTAAACGTTGAGAGACTGTGAATGTTGACATCTGCAAAGCCATTACCACAGCTAAGGTAACAAAAGTTTACTCCTGTCTCACAGAAACTCCCTTCTCCCTCAGACTCCCTTCTCCCTCCTTCTCCATTCTCATGCAATCATGATTTGCTCTCTTTACAGATTTGCATTTTCTAAATATGCATAGAAACAAATTCATAAAATGTGCACTATATCATTTTATCTGGTTCCTTTCCCTCAACATGATTTTTAATTTCATCCACATTAGTGCATGTAGTTCATTTTTTATGGCTGAATTCTATTATTTCCAAAGAAATACCAAAACTTGTTTCTTCGTTCACCTGATAATAGACATTGGCATTCTTCCAGTTTTGCTTATTACAAATAAAACTGATGTGAACATTCATGTGTATGAATGAATAAATGCTCATTTCTCTTGGGTAATTACCTCACAGCAGAGTGATTTGATTCCATGATATGTTTTCATTTAATTTTTAAAAATTCCACTCAACTATCTTCCAAAATAACTGTACAGTTTTGTATTCTCATCACCACTATATGAGAATGCCAATTGATCTACATCTTCTGCAATATTTTATGGTCATTTGAAAAATTTTAGCCGTCTTAATGGATGTGTAGTGGTATTGGGTTGCAGTTTTAATTTGCAGTTACCTACTGACAAATTATATTGAGCAGGTTTCAGGTGCTTATGTGCCATCTACATATGCTCTTCAGTGAAATGTCCACTCAGATATTCAGGCCAGTTTTAAGCTGTTTTATTTTTAATAAAATGTCAGAGATCTTGATATATTACAGATAAAAATGCTTTTTCAGTTAGACATTTTGCAAATATTTCCCCAGTCTGTGGGTTCTTTTGGCCTTGTCTAAGCCATATTCTTTGTTTTGTTCTTTTTTCTTTTCTAAAAATATTTTATTTTAATTGAAAAATAACAGTTACATTTATTTATGTGGTACAGTGTAATACAAACATGGATATGTTGAGAACTGACTAAATCAGGTTAAGTAACGTGCCTACTATTTCTAATTCATGCACCATTTCTGCATGGTGAAAACACTAAATCTACCCTTCTAGCAACTGAAATATCTAATACATTTGTGTGATTGACTAAGGCAGCGCTGTGCAGTATACCGCTAGAGCACCTCCCTCTTCCTGGCCGAAACCTCCCACCCGGGGGCTAACATCCTCCCTTCCCTCAGGCCTCTCTGTCCCCCATCCACCTTTGTGCTCTTTGTTTCTGTGAGTTTCAGCTTTTTAGGTTCCATGCAACAGTGAGATCGTGTAATATTTTTCTTTCTTTTAACAATGTCTTTTGAAGAACAAACCTCTTCAGTTCTGATGACGGTCAGTCGGTGTAATGCATTCCAGACACTGCATTCCCTCCAGGACACTGCAGGACAGGACGCACTGGGGCTTTTTAGCCACTCACCCACCGGACGGCGTCTGCCTTGTGTCCTTTCTGGATGGCAAATGAAGCTGCTCTTAACATTGGTGTCCAGAATTTTTTGTAAATGTAAATTTCCATTTCTCCAGAATGCACAGCCCAGAGTGCATCCCTGGGTGGCTTTGCGTGTTTGGGTCTGTAGGAAATCACCAGACAGTTTTACAGACTGGCTGCAGGACTTTTCATTTCTACCATCGATGTGTGGGTGACACAGGTTCTCTTCGTGCTTGCCAGCATTTGGGGTTATCTCTATTTTTTAAATTGTGGCCACCTGGGAGGGGTATAGTGATCCATCATGGTAGTTTTAATTTGCATTTCCCTGAGAGCTAATAATTTTAAACAATTTTTCATGTGCTTATTTGTTCTCTCTATATGCTCTTCAGAGAAGAGTCTGCATTCTGACTGGCTAGTTTGTTTTTACTGTTGAAAATTCTTTATGTATTCTAGGTATGAGGCCTCTGTTAAATATGTGCTTTGAAAATATTTGCTGACAGTTTATAACTTGTCCCTTTAGTCTTCTAGCTGAATCTTTTGCAGAGCAAATATTTTAAATTTTGACAAGTTTTATTTTATTAATTTTTTCTTATTAAACAAGCTTTTGGTGTTAAGTCTAAGAACTCTGCCTACCCCTATACCCTGAAGGTTTTTTGTTTTGTTTTCCCAAGCTTTTAATTTTAAGGCAAACCTCTGATTTACTTTGAGTTCATTTTTATAGGAAGTGTAAGATTTGGGTCAACATTCATTTTCTTGCCCATGGATATCCAACTGTCCCAGCTGCCTTTGTTAAGAAGGCTATATTTATGCTCTGTTGAACACCTTTTGTGTATTTGTTAAAAGTCAGTAGTGGGTACATTTGTGTGCATTTACTTCGAGGTTCTCTGTACTGTTCCACTGATTTGTGTGTTTTTCTGCAGCCAGGATCATACTGTCTTGATTACTACACTGCACTGAAACCCTAACAGCTGCAGAGTGGTTTTCTGCGCTTTTTCATGTAAATTTGAGAATAATTTTGTCTATGTATGTCAACTTGGTGGGATTTTGAGAGGAAATATATTAAACCTGGAGGCCAGCAGCTGGAGGTTAGATGTGCTGAGCATGCGTCAGGTCTTGGGTTCAATCCTGGGCACCAAAAACTCAAAGCCCAAACACGAGAGCTCAGTCTGGGGTGACCTGACGTCTTTGCTATCCTGACGTCTTAATTATAAGTACGGTGTGTCTCGCATCTTAACCAGGCCTTGGGGTTTTCTCCTCCACATTTCATAATCTTCAGCAAAGGAGTTCTGCATGTGTTCTGTCACTTTGATACCGTCTTTTATTTCTTTTTGTTGCTTTACTGCAGTGACCAGGACTTCTGGGAATCTGTTGAGTAACAGTGGTTAGAAGGGGCATCCCTGCCTTAATCATCCATAAACTAGTTTACCATAAACTAAGATATTAGCGGGAGGTTGTTACTGCTACTCACAATTGGGCTACAGGAGTTCCTTTGCAATCTTAGTTTGCTAAAAAGATGTGTGTGTGTGAACGCACATACATGTGAATGGATACTAAATTTTGAAAGGCTTTCCTTGCACATGTTTCAAAGCTCATGTGGTTCTTCTTCCATAGTCTGTAAATATCAATTTAAATTTAATTGGTATATCTTGGGATTTTCTACTACCAAAGTAGCCTTCTTAAATTCCCAGGGTAAACTTCACTTACAGTAAGGTGTTATCCAGCTATCTCTATCTGTACACACAGAAACACATATACATGTATGCGTGTGCATTAAAATACACATACATATATATTTACTATGTGTGTACTTTTGAATGTATGTGTTTAAACTTCTTGTGATTTGCAAATATTTTGTTGGAGACCCTGTTTCTGAGGATCGTGTCTGTGGTTTCACATTCTTGTAACGTCAGTCTAGCTCTGGTCTCGGGGATGCTGGCATCATGCAAGCTTAGAAGTTTTTCTTCCTCTCATTCTCCGGGGGAATTTGCATGAAATTGTCATTTATTCTTTCTCAAATGTTTGACAGGATTCACCACCAAAACCTCTGGATCTGAATTTTTCTTTGTGAGAAAACTTTAAAGTACAAATTCAATGTGAATGTCTTTAAATTCAATTTCCTTAATAGCTACAGGAGTATCCAGGGTATGCAATGCATCTGGGGTTAGTTTTTGTAGCTTATTGTCTTTTTTGTCCACTTTGATTCAGCTGTCCAACTTATTAACAAAAACTCTTCACGTTTACTTTTAGCCTTTTCACATCTGTGGGTCTGTGGGAACAAGCTCTCTCCAATTCTGATGGAGGAAATTTATATTTTCCTTTTTTTTTCCTCCTCGGTCAATGTGGCCAGAGGTTTATCAATTTTATTGACATTGCCAAGAAATTAATTCTCACTTGTAGAGATATTTTATATTGCTTTTCTATTTTGTCTTGTACTTTGGGCTTAATTTACTCTTTTCTGTAGGTTTGTTTTTTTTTTTTTTTTTTTTTTGTCTTTTTCTTTTTTATCGGTACCGAGGATCGAACTCACGACTACCAGCTTGCAAGGCAGGCGCTTATGCCGCTGAGCGAAATCCCCAGCCCCTCTTTTCTGTAGCTTTAGAAAGCAGAAGTTTGATTGTCGGCTTCCGTCTTCCCATTGTTCTAATTTAAGCATTAAAGGTTTGACTTTTCCTTCTAAGTTTCATTTGCATTCCACAAATTTGAAGTCATGTTCTAATTTTTATTCACCTCAAATATTTTACCTTTTCTTATGTAATTTCTACTTGAACTCACGCATCATTTAAAAGGCAGTTCTTTAGTTTCCACACATACAGGGCTTTCCCAACATTGTTACCGCTAATCTGTAATTTAGGTCTGTTGTGGTTAGAGAATATTAGTTATCTCATTTCTGTCCTTTTAAGTGCAGTGAAAGTTATGGCTCAGACTGCGAGCTGTTTTGATGGTCGGTGCGTCCTGCTGTGGCCGAGGGTGGTGCCACCCTCCACTTATTTCTCCTTTCAAATCTGCCAGTGTGTGCTTCATGGATTTTGGAGCTCTGTTATTTGGTGTAGAAGTATTGGAGATGATTTGGTCCTCTCAAGGGATTGACACCTTTGTCATTAAGAAATCACTCCCCGGAGGTGGGGTGGGGACAAAACCTCCCTAACTCATTCCCGCCTGGGAAACCTCGTTTGCCCATGTTCCTTCCTCGTGACTTTCTGCCCCATTTGGTCCCTGTTTAATCAATGTTTTCTGGGAAACTAACTTGTAATTGTGAGTAGTAACATAGCAGCTCCGGGTTTTTCTTGATTAGTGTTAATACAGTGCCTTTTCTGGCCCTTTCCTCTCACTTTTAACCTCTGACACAGCTTTCCTGTAGGTAGCTTAGAGTCAGGTATCATTTCTATGACCAAACTTACAATAATGTCTTATTTTTAGCAGGTGTGTTTAGACTACACATTTTCGTATGTCTCATTGTTTCTTATTCCCCCCCCCCCCGAGAGAATTTCTAGGCCCCAGCACAGGGAAGGAGAAGGCAAAAGGACTCCAGGACCTCAAACAGACTGAGTTTGGAGTTTAGAGAAGCCATGGTGACCAAAATAGGTGATCCAGAACAGTTACTACTACCACGCCTCTTCCTGTAAAAGGTAAGAAGACTCAGTGTTAGTCCACTTTCCACTGCTGTGACAAAATGCCTGAGAGTAACCTGAAAGGCCACAATCTTTAATTTTCCGCCCATGCTCAGTTGGCTCCGTTGCTTTTAGGCCTGTGGTGAAGCAGAGGCATCATGGGAGAGGACCATAGCCTTGTGGCAGCCGGGAAGTTCTTCCCCTTTTGTGCCACCTGGTCGGGCAGCCTATTGGATGGTGTTACCACATCCAGGGCAGGTCACCCTCCTGGTTTGCTGGCGCACATGCCAATCATCTCCAGAACGCCCTCACAGACATACCCGGAAGTGTGGGTTACTAACCTCCTGGCTGATTCTGCACCCAGACTTGCTGGTGAGCAGGGTTAGGCCTGTGCCTTGCCATATCCCAGTCCCACTTGTTTCCTCACACTCCGCCCAGGGTCCTCTTTGCTGCTGTAGGTTTCATAGATGTGTGAATTGCACACCTCAAAATGACAATTTTTGGCTAATCAGTCAGTTGTGTAAGGAAATTAAAAAGATGAAGTCTTGTAAGTCGCCGCGTATTTACCGTTTGGGTTGCTTTTGACTCCTTTCAGAGCTGGTCTCATCCACTGTCACCTCCACCCACGGGGCTCAGGTCTCTCCATTGTTGTCGCTGTGGTTTTTTAATATCTAAACCCGTCCCTTTTAATCTTCCTTATCTCTGATCTTGCCGTTCCTGAGGAGGAAGTGCAGTTGACACTACTGTCCCCTGATTGTATTGTGTATTTTATCTCTGCTGCTTTCAACATTTTCTTTATCTTGGCTTTTCAGCAACGTGACTAGGATTTTTCTAGTTACTTTTATTTGTCTTGCTTTTGGTTTTGCTGATCATTCTGGACGTCTAAATTGCTATTTTTCACCTATTGGGAACTTTTGACTATTTTTCTTCAAATTTGTTTTTTGCTGTTCTTGTCTTCCTCCCTAATTACAGACACATTAAGCCCATGGAGCATCTCTCTCGTCTCCAAGGTGCTTTATGATTTCTTTCAATTTTCTTTTCTTGGCGTTACCCTAATGGCCTGTCTTTAGGTCCCCTGACTATTTCTTTTGATGTCTTTACTTCGTAAGTCTGGCTAGAACATTTTTCATTTGAAGATTGTACTTTTCATCCCTGAAATTTCCATTCAGACTTGAGAGTTTAAATTTTAAAAAATTGTGGTAAATACCCATATGACATTTACCATCCTGTCTTAAGTGTAGTTCTCAGTGGCATGAAGTCTATTCACTCTGTTGTGCTCCCAACACCCTATCCACCCACAGAGTTCTTTCTCATCTTGCAAAGCTGCAATTGTCCCCACGCCCCCTCCCTCCTGTGCCCCGGAAGCCCCATTTGCTTTCTGTCTCCACAAAATCTACCACTCCAGGTACTTCACATCAGTGGGCTAACAGTATTTGTCCTACTATGATTTACTTATTTTGCTTAGGATGTTGTCTTCAGGGTTCATCCCGGTTGAAGCGTATGTCACAAGGTCCCTCCTTCTAAGGCTGACTATACCGTCATCTGTGGACGGACAGTTTGGTTGCTCCAGTCTTTTGGCCATTGCAAAGAGCGCTGGTGTGAGCATGAGTTTGATGTGGATTCTTAAAATTTATATCTCAGATGTTCATTGTTAATATATAGAAATACAACTGGTTTTCCAACATTGGCATTGTATGCTGTGAACTTGCTAAAATCATTTTGTGTTTGAGGGATCTTTTTTGTAGCCTCTAAAGGATGGTAACGTCTTCTATGGTATATAGACAATCCTAGTTTTATTTCCTCCCTGCTCTGTGCGTGTGTGATACAAGGGATTGAAGCCAGGGATTCACACATCCTAAGAAAGTGCTCTGCCATGGAATTACATCCTCAGCCCTTTTTAACATTTTGAGACAGTTTGCTAAATTTCTTAGGTTGACCTCAAATTTGTGATCTGTCTGCCTCACTCCCGAGGAGCTGGAATTACAAACCAATTCTTTTCTATTTCCTTTTCACACTCTATTGTACTTGCTAGGACTTCCAGTGCATTGTTGAATAGAAGTGGTAAATAGACACCCTTGCCTTGTTTCTGATCTTAGGGGAAAATCGCGAGTCTGTCACAATCTGGAGTGGTGGTAGCTGGGTTTTCTAGCTGTCTTCCAGTTGGAGGAGGCGCCCTCTGTGCCTGGTTTGCTAAGGTTTTCATCATACCTGGATGTTGACTTTTGCCCAGTGCTTTCCTTCATCTACTGAGGCGATCATGGAACTGTTCTTCTTTTGCAGCAATGTGATGAATTGTTTTCACTTGTCTAATGTTGGACCAGCCTTGCATTCCCACAAGAGAGCCCATTCGGCTGCAATGCGTTGCTTTTTTATGTATTGCTGGGCTTGTTTTATTTCTGTTTTGTGGAAGATTTCCACGTATACATTCATAAGATGTATTGATTTTCAGTCTTTTCTTTGATACAATGCTGGCCTCATAAAAGGAGACAGAAAGTGTTCTCGCCTCCTCTGTTTTCTGGAATGTCTTGGGTGGAACTGGTTTTCCTACTTCACTACATGTTTGTTAGAGCTCACCTGTGAAATCATCTGGGCCTGGATTTTTGCCTTTTGGAAAGTCTTAAACTAAGAATACAATTTTTAAAATGTATTTATTTTTGCAGCGCTGATGTTTGGGCTCCAGGCCTTTGCACTCAGCTAATCCCCAGCCCTGTTTTCTTTATTTACTTACTTATTTTTAAATTTTAAGATAGGGCTGGCCAAGTCACTCAGTTCCCCGGGCTAGGCTTGTGATCATCCTTCCTCAGCCTCCTGGAGGGCTGTGACCCAATGGGACACCAGCACACCTGGCTAAATTGATTCAGTTTTTTTCATAAATACCGCCGCAGTTAGGCTGGCACTTTCTGAACACCAAATTCTGTGCGAATTGTGTGTCACTGTGTCTTTCACAGGTTGGCTCATTTAGTACATACTGTTATGTGTGGGCAGAGAGCTGTTTATGTTGTTGTCTTATTAGCCTTTCAATCCTGTAGTCGAGGTGGTGACCTCCGCACTTGCATTTCTGGAGTCGCTAATTTGCATCCTTTCTCTTATGAGTATGTCAGAGTCAGCCAGAGACTTGCCAAGTGTATTGATTTTTTTTTTCCAAAGAACTAACTTTTGGGTGAATTTGTTCTATTTTTAGTTATACTCACTTCTGTTCTTTTTTTTTTTTTTTTTTGTCTTTTTCATTTTTATCGGTACTGGGGATCGAACTCACGACCACCTCCTTGCCAGGCAGGTGCTTATGCTGCTGAGCTAAACCCCCAGCCCCTCTCACTTCTGTTCTTGTCTGTATTGTTTTTGTTTCTTCCCCTTCTTCTTTCTCTGTGCTTACTTTGCTCTTCTTCTGGTTTCTTAAATGGAACCTGAGATTATTTATTTGGCCTATGGATTCTTTGACCTATGGATTGTTTACAGGCATTTAGTTTAACTTCCAAATATTTGTGTATTTTCCAGATATCTTTTTATCACTCATCTCTAGGTTAAGTACTTTGTGGTTAAAGAACAGACCTCGTATTCTTTTAAATTCTTTAGTGGTTAATTTTTTAATGGCCCAGGATCTGACCCCCTCTGAGAGTGTTCCATTTGCATTTGGAAAGAGTAAACCTTCTGCTGGGGTGGCCAAGCGTTGGAAAACGCCAACAAAGCCAAGCTGGTGGACCTGGCCGGGTCTTCCCTACACTTGCTGATTTTCTGCTTACATGTTTATTGATTACTGAGAAAGAAGTCAAGACTGCAAATACAATTGGGTGTTTCCTCCTTCAGTTCTGGCAGCTGTGTGGTTTGGAACTCCGGCACTGGGGACACACATCGAGTACTCTCAGTCTTCTTGGTGAATCTGTCTTTTCTCACTGCATAACAGCCTGCTTGTACTGGTGATTTTCGTGGTGTCGAGGTCTTCTTTGATATCAGCATAACCGTATCTGCTTTGTTCTCATGGATGCGTATATTTGGTATAGCTTTTTCCATCCTTTTACTTTTAATCCATCAACTTGAGAGATCAGCAAACATTTCCTGCGAAGAGCTAACAAGTAGATATTTGGGGGTTTCTGGGCCACATTTGATTTCTGTCACCTCTTCCTTCACCTCCCTTTTTTCCTACAACAATTTAAAAATGTAAAAGCTGGTTTCTACAGCTGACCTGCAGTTTGCTAATTCCTACCCTACACAAACGTTTGTAAAGTGCATTTCTTCTAGACAGCGTATCTCATCAGGGTCTGTTTGTTTGTTTCTGTAACCCAGCACGACAGTGGCACCCAGAGAGAGGAGAGCCAGGTGCTCTGCGTTGGCCGTGCGCTGGCAGAGCTGGCGTCTCCAGGCTCCTCTTGAGACTTGGTTACGTTGGATTTTTATCCCGGACATTTTGTCATGTTAGAAGCCTGGATCTTGTTAAAATCCTCTGGAGACATTGCTTTTCTCCTCTACCCCGATTCCCCTTCTTCCTCCTCTGCCTCGCCCCTCCTCTCCCCGCTCCCCTTTTCCTCTTCCTCCTCCTCGCTGGCACCCAGCTGGTCCAGGCACCTGCACTCCGAGTTCCTTCTCTCCCCTGGGCAGAGGCTCCTTGTCCTTCCAGCCCCCAAGCTGAGGCCGTGCTGCCCGCTTGTGCCTTTCAAAGCCTCGCCTGGGCCTGCACCTGTGGCGGTCTAGACCTTTGACTTCCTCCCGCCCCGGCAGCCTCACTTCTGTCCCTCACACTGGCCCCAGACTGCACGGCTGGCTCCCAGCAGCCCTGCGTTAAGATCAGGGCATCTTCAGGGAACAGGGCCTGCCGCAGGGCTCCCTCTTGGGCTCTCCTTCCCACCAGCTGCCGTCCCAGCAGTTCCTACTACGTGTCACTCCCTGGAATCCTGTCAGTTGGTTTTTGTAATTGTCTGGGGTTTCCATCACCATTTATACCATATGTGTTTTGTTTGCTTTGCTTTTGCTACACGGGACTGAACCCAGGACCTCGTGCATGCTAGGCGTGTGCTCCGCCACTGAATACTGCTTTTAAAACCCTCCAAGGTTGTAAAATTTGGTTTGAGTTAAGGTCTTGCTAAGTTGTCCAGGCTGGTTTTGAACTTGCAGTCCTCTTGCCTCCCGAGTAGCTGAGATTGTAGGTGTGCGCCACGCTGGGCTAACACTAGCTCTTGTGAGAAGGGCATTACTATCATTTTCTTCATTTTACCAGTGAAGCTGGGGATGATTTAGTCACTGGGGCAATGTCACATGACTAGGACATGGCAGAGCCACCGCAGAGCTACAGAACTGTGTCTTTGCATCTCAACCACGAGCCACACAGAATTTAGCTTTCCAACGTGGTGCCTGCAAATCACAGCCCTCACTGACCCCAACTGGGTCTGCTGGCACTTACTGGAACTCAAATTTACTCCCTTGCAACTGGCATGAGCTCCCAGGGGCTTGGGAAGGAGAAGCCAGCGCCCTCAGAGGGGCGGACTCTGTCCTGCGCTTGTTTGCTCCCGAGTGGTTGCTCTTGGGATGAAAACTGCAGTCTTCAGCGTCCTCCCTTCCTCCCCACCTCACCTCATCCCCATTCTTTTATCCTTTTTCTTTGCCAGCGACAGTGGTCTTGCTGCTCCTTGCATCTGTCACGAGCCATCCCTCTTCCCCAGGGCCTTTGCGTGTGCAGCTCCCTCTGCCCGAGTTCATTTCTTACCACTTTGACACCATCAGTGGTCACACCTTCATGCCTCAGCTCAGCTCTCTATTCCTCGAAGGTTCTTGGTGTGATGATTTGATGAGGACGAGCTGTCCCAGCTGGACTGGCCGCACTGTCTCTCCTGGACACTACCACTCAGCCTGTGCTGCAGAGGAGAAAGTTTCTCTGAATCAGTGAACGAATGAGTGTGTGAATGAATGAAAAAACACGAGGCCATCTGCAAAGGCCCCGTCTACACACACTTGCACCTGCAAGCTATTTGTTTAGGGCGAGGAGTCTGCACTGTACTGTCCTACAACCCTGAGAGCCACGATGCATTCCACTGTCAAGTTTGCAGGCGAGCAAGCAGAAGCCCGCGTCTGTCCTGGTCAGCGTTTCCAGGGCCCAGTGAGAGCTGCATAGACGCAGAGCTGAGGGACAGAGGCTGGAGGTGCACCTGAGTGAGGATGGGTGCTGGGCCCAGGCACTGGCCTGCGGCAGCCTTTCGGATCTGGCCTTTCCTCCTGCCTTCAGGGATGTGTCTCTGGCCAAGAACGCAGAGGCATCCAGCGGGCGTACAGTGTGCTGCTTGCATTAGGGAAGGGAGACCAACAGGTCTGAACGCCGGCCCAGCCGGAAGGGAGCCCTGTAGAGGCCTCCTCCTTACTTGAGCAGTGCTCAAGGCATCCGCTGCCCAGCACAGCTGCTGCAGGACAGGGGTCAGCACAGGACCAAAAGACCTGTCCAGTCAGTCTCTGAAGCTGGACTTGTGCGTGAGTCCAACAAAGTGAGTCATATACACTTTTGGCACAAACGTGCAATGTAAACATAAAAAACACTCCTGGGTACCCGCAGAATGCTGTAAACAAGCTCTTCTCACAGTTCCCGCCCTCTGCCCTGCACAGGCAGCGCACAGGAGCCCCACCCGTGTCGGGCATGTGAGGTCCACTGGTGTCTGTGGAAGTGTGAAGCTCACATGTGCCCATCAGGGACTTCTGCGTCTTCCCTGTGGGACATAGACATGGGAGCCTGTCCACCACACAGTGGCCGCTCCGAGCCTCAAAACTGCAAAGGTGGCAGAGTCGGAATTTGTTTTTTTTTTGTTTTTTTGTTTTTTTTTTAAAGAAAAGGAAACAAAAAAAAATACATGGAGATTAAAAAAAAAGGGAAGAAATAATACAAAATTACAGACAAACAAACGGTAAGAAATTGCTGGTTGATAAGTTACACATTGTCATCTTCAGCATATGTAGAGATGGGGACAGCTATCACAGAGTTGGAATTTGAACCTAGTTCTGCTAAACCCCAAACCTAGGCACTGCCCAAGGAGCTGCCCTGCCTCCCAAGATCGAGAGGCCAAGGAGCACAGAGCTCACTCAAATTGTTCAGAATTCATTATTTTCATATTGTGGTAAAATATGCATAAAATAAAATTTGCCTCTTGCCTTTTTTTCAGGGTGCAGGTCATAACCGGCCGGTGCGCACCTGTGATCCTGCACTCTGAGAGGCTGAAGCAGTGTTCCCACCCAGCCCGGGCACCTAGTGACTTAGCAAAGTCCTGTCTCAGAAAACCAAAACTGGAAAGAGGGCTGTACCTCAGTACAAAGGCCCTCAGTCCAGTCCCCGGGACCACGGAGAAGAACAAGGTGCATCTGCCACGTTGTGCCACCATCATCACCGTCTCTGCAGTGCCCTCCGTCTCGTCAAACTGAAACTGTCCCTGAGCTGTAAGTGCCCACTGTCCCCCCTGCCCCGGCCCCGCTACCGCTGACTTTCTGCCCCGTGAGTCCCTTACGGATGATTTCATATGGTCAGCTCGTTCCTGCCGCATAACGTCCAGGGGGCCTGTCGCACGTGTGTTGGGCTTTCCTTCCTTTCTGAGGCTGACTACGCATGCCATTCTGCTACCCCTCACCCACAGAGAGGACCTGGGGTTCCTTCCGCGCGTCAGCCTTTGGGAATAATCTTGCTGTGACTGTGGGTGTACAAAGTCTCTTCCAGACCATGCTTTCAGTTCTCTGGGAGACTCTATATGTACATGCACATCCCAGGCCAGAGCCGCTGCATCACATCTAACTGGTTTTAACTTCCCGAGGAACTGCCAGGTTGCTCTCCCCAGCAGCTGTGCCTTTCTCCAAACTCAGTTTCCTGTATCCTCCAAATCCTCTGCGTCCTTGTCAGTATTTGTTCCCTTCTTTTTGTGTTTTCTGCTTAACTTGGTCACAGCCCCTCGAGTGGGTGGGTGCACCTAGCTTCGATGTGCATCTGTCTAGCGATGAGTGACGCGGAGCGTCTTTCCAGGAGCTCACTGGCTATTTGTGTGTCTGGCTTCCAAGCCCTCTTCCCATTTCTGAAGGAAGCTGATCTGTTGTTGCTGCATTTGTAACAGTTTCTATATTCTGGATATCAATCTTCTATTAAATACCTGACTTGCAAATGCTTTCTCACCGTGTGTGGATTATCTTTTTACTGTGTTGATAGTTTCTTTGATGTCCAAAAGTTTTAAATTTTCATGAAATCCAATTTGCCTTTTCTCCTTTGTTGCCTGTGCCTCTGTAGTATCAGGAAGGTATCAGGAAGCTCTAATGGAGCCCATGCATGTTACAGATGGGGAAACTGAGGCTTAGAGCCCTGGGCCACACACAGAGCTTTCTGGGGACCTGGCCGTGACCAGCCCTCTTGGAACTGTCCATAGCCTTCTCTGCTGAACACAAAACACGCCTGCCATGCCCTGCTCTGAGCCTGGGGCTTTGTGGGGAAGGGGCCAAAGGGCTGAGCACAGAAGTCAGTAATCACAGGCAGCATGGGCTGTCTGGGCAGGCAGATCCCGCGCCCCTTACGGACCCGCTGCATGAAGTCAGGCCTCTGCAACTGCAGAGCAGTAATGAGACCCCCGCGTCTGCTCAGGGGCTGGTGGAATGCTGCCCCTTCTAGTAACTGCCATTGTCCGCAAGTGCACCTCTGAGGCGATCCTGGGGGATTCTCATTCACATCAGCCGTCTTCTGTGCCAGGCTGACTCGGGCCCCACTTAGAAGCTGGGGTCCCCCACTACACTCCCAGGGAGGGATGGGCATTTCGGGGTTGCATATAGGTGGCACCTAATAAATACAGTCAGATGAGAAACCTGGCTCCTGCCTGTCACCACGGTGTATGTGGCACCCTCAGGGATCCCACAGGCAACGTCCCTGGTTATCGAGGGTGAGGAGGAAGCGTCCAGACAGCACTGAGATTCTTGGCCACAAGAACCGGGGGCCACCTTTCTGTTCTCACCAAGGGAATGCTGAGTGAGAACTGGCTTCTGAGCTTTTTGGTGCATGTGGGGGGGGGTTGTTTTCAGTTTTGTTTCCCTGACTGCAAAATGCTCCCCTGATGTACCCCAAAGGCTTCAGGAGTGCAGGAGGGACTCAGTGTGAAAATGACCTATTGCTGGGATGTGTAGGTCACCTTCCTTTAAGGACAGCTAGCTTCTCCGCTGCCCAGTCCCGCTGCCATCCACCCTTCCCCCACCCTCACCCCACCCCCGCTCCACAGCCTTCGGTCCCTGCACTCTTGAGGGGGCATGCTTGGTGTCAGGGACCAGCCTGGCTGCAGAAGGGCTGCTGTTGCCTGGGCTCGGAGCCTGGTGTGGGGGCAGGGGCGTGCGTGTGGGCGTGGAGCCGAGCAAGCCTTCCTAGAGCTGGAAAGCTTGCATGATGACAGTGTTGTACATGTGCGTGGGGCTGGTACTTTTCCAAGGGCTTTTAAATGCATTATCTTGTTGGAGACTCATTTGAGGCAAGGACTCGAAGCAGACTGGAAAACAACTAATTTACTGAGTCCTGAATGGAGAGGAAGCAGAATGCAGTGTGTGTTTTTGCCGAATCTCAAACCAAAACAACCTTTTGTTAAAGAACAAACAAATAAACAAAAATGCAGAACACTAATTCACCAGGGAACACAGTCTGAACTGAAGCTCTGGGCAGAGAATCACAGCAGAAAATCCAACAAACATTGATTGGGGGCAGGGGCCATGGGGCCCTCAAGCCAGCACCTGAGCAAGAGCTTTCGGGGGCAGGCCAGTGTGCCCCTGCAGGCAAGGCAGGTCCCCCAGGGACCCCTGAAACCTGGCCAGCAGGAAATATTGGTGGAAGCGGCCAGGATGACGCGAGTTTGGGACCCTGAGCCAGGCCTCAAGGAGAGGCGCTTCTGGGGACCTTGAGAGCCCCCGCCTGAGCAGAGCACCATACTGGGGTGGCCTGGAGGGAAAGGCTTCTGGGGTTGGGGCTGCCAGCCCTTAACTGAGGCTGGAGGCAAGCAGCTCATCTGCTGCAGCAGGAGGCAGGGTGGGGGTTCTGTGAGATCACGGGGCCATCCGTGTGCCTCCATGTCCAGGGGAGAGCCGGGGTCTCTGGCCCGAGCGCCTGGATGGGAGAAATGGGAGGACCACCCCAGGTGGGCCCCCTGTGTGGTGCACACACGCACCCTGGGCTGCAGACCCACGCAGGCACGTGTACACATGTACACATCGCCACATGAGGCTGCACCCACTCACAGCACAAGCTCCTGGCCTGCAGTCTGTCCCTCCGCCAGACCCTGACTTCCCGGACCCCAGAGAAGTGTTGGTGCCAAGTCCTCCTGGGTGCTCCAGGTGCACGGTGGCAGCACCATGGGCCCCAAACAGCCTCCAGGACCTGCCGCTGAGTGGGCCAAGCTGTGCTCTGTGCCACAGACCAGACACCACCATGAAGCGGACCTAAGAGTGCCCACCTGCCCTGGCCAACCACCCCATGACCCCATGACCCCGTTGCCAGGGCTGCAGTGAGACCAGGGGAAGAGCCGCTGCATCCTGAAGCGCTTTGGCCCTGGGGAAAGCCAGGCCTTTGGCTCACCCGCGCCGACCCCCTGACGCCAGGCATGTACGCCAGGCCCCAAGTCTGCAGCTGGTCCCCAGCTGGGTCCTTGTCCCTGAGGCTGTCTTTGTGCCTGCACAAGGCAGACTCAGTTCCTCCCTTGCTCCTTGACCCCGTATCCTGTCCCCTCATGGGGGGAGCAGACAGTGCCAGCTGCCCCTGAGAAGAAGTAGGGCCACCTCCCTGACCCCTGCCTCCTCTGGGTGTCTTGGGGGAGCCAGCAGGCTGCCTATTGCAAGCTATGAAGCCAGTTAATAACTCTTGAAGGCTCCGGACCCTCCAGCCACCAGCTCGAGAGCCCACCGTGACCCGCTCATGTGGCCAGTGTCCACAATCCCTATTACTGTGCTGGGCACCAGTGTCTCAGACAGAGCCGGAGGACTTGGGCCCCGTCCTGCCTTCCCAGGCCCAGCCAGGCTGTGTACACAGCACGCAGAAGTCAATAAATATTTGCTTAGGCCCAGACCCTGAGGAGACCTGGGGGCCAGGCACAGCCGGGGTAAGATGGGGACGTGTGGACCAGGGTCCTCGTCCCTGCCGAGATCTGGGTGAAGCACGGCCACCCCTGAGAGTTCACATGGGGGTGGGCGAAGAACAAGACGAGGCAAGTGTGGTATGGCGGCATTTAATCCAACTTCAAGTGAATTCTGAGGAGCGCACAGACTCCCCAGACAAGACAGGGCCTCCACGCGAGCACACCGCAGGCCTCAGGGTGACACAGTGTCCCGGCACTGGGGGCCACCTGTGGCTCACTCTCCCGGAAACATGCCCCTCGCCACCCCTGCCACATCTCAAGCTGTCTTCCGAGACGTAAGAAGAAACTGTTTCCGTCACCACCACAGTGACACACCAAAGCCCATCCAAAGGTCTCGTCTTTCAACTGCTGCTTAACGTGAATCAGTGCAAAGTGAGGTAAAGAGCCCTGGTCACCAGGCCGAGGCCACACCCTTGCCCTCATACAAGCCTGCGTCTTTTGGAGTCCCTCCCCACGTCGCCTTCCTGTAGGTCAGGCTCGCAGCCCAGGGGTGACACCAGGTTCAGCAGGGGGTCCTCGGAGGCACGGCCAAACAGCGCCAGCAGAAGTGCCACGCCGAAGCCAGTGGCTCGCTCGCCCTGTGGACAGAAGCAGAACATGGGGGCCTCCGTGTCGGTGGGACTTCCTGGGCGCCCCACCCTGCCCCCCTTCTTGGTAAGGGCATCCTGGAGCACGAGTGGAGGTCGAGGCCTTTCCCCAGGGTCAGGGATGGGGTTGGGCAATGCGCTGCTCCTGGGATGGCAGACTGAGGCTGGAGGCTGGGCCATAGTCAGTGCGCCCACACACAGTGAGTTCAGCCGGCAGCTCTGCAGCGACCAGAGGGAGGAGACCAGGCTGGGGGGAGGGGGAGGAGAGGACACCCCCGGGGTGGCGCCCCTGCACTCACAGCGTGCACAGGGGCAGCGATGTCCAGGTGGACCCAGACCCCGGGCCAGTCGAAGCCGATGTGCGAGGCGATGAAGAGGCCGGCGCAGGAGCTGGGGCTGTTGTCACGGTCCTGAGGAGGCCGGGACGTGGAGTGACTGTCACTCGGCATGGGGCGGTACCCAGGTGCCCGCAGCTCCCCCCTGCCCTGTCTACCATCCCTGCGCCCCCAGCCTTGACTTGTGTGTGGAGCCAGGTGTGTGGAGGGGCTTGGGGCAGCGGGGAGTGCTCCACCCAGGACGGGTTGGGGGGAGGCATCCAGAGAAGCCCTTTGGGGGCTACTGAGCAGGCACGGGAGAATAACCTCCGGCTGTGTGGCAGCATGCGGAGGGGGACACTCTACCCCAGAAGCTACCTCCCCAATGTCCTTCTCCCAGACACATCTGCGCCCTGGTCTGCCTCGAGGGGCCACATCCACACCGATGGCCGCCACCCAGGCCCCCGCATGAAGCCCCCACCTACCGCCACCGAGTTCTTCATGTCAGCCACGGCCGAAGTGAACTCGCTGAAGTGCAGCTCGGGGCAGTAGACCAGGGGGTGCACCAGGTCCCCGCACTGCCGGCCGGCCTTCACGCAGGCAGCTTCCCACTCGGCGTTGTTGGTGAGCACCGCAGCGTGGTACTTCCCAGTGGCGATGCCCTGGGCGGTGGGCGGCCCGAGGGATGCATCGCAGTGGCGAGGGCAAGAGACACATGGGAGACAAAAATGGGGAAGATGGCCGATGGGAAATAAGCCAACGGAGAGGCGGTGAGCATCAAGTTCCAGAAAGGAAGAAAGTAACGGAAGGGAACCACGCACGTCCAGCATGGGCTCCCTCGAGAGGCAGGACCACAGCTCCTCCCTCTTCCCCTCCACTGGGGTCACGGAACCTTTGTGATGCCCCCCCCCCGGCTCCCCCACACACCCCAAAGTCAAGGGAGTTCGGCCCGAAGCTCAGCTCAGGCCCCTACCTGCGCCCCGGTCAGCGTGGCCATGTCCAGGATGATGTCAGCGCCCAGGTCTTTACAGGCATAAGCAACACCATCGGCCAGCACCAGCCTGCCCTCGGCATCTGTGTTGTTGATTTCCACAGTCCTGGAGTACCACAG